CGGGGGCCTGCCGCCCTCGTAGCTAGGCGGAGGGGGCGGGGGGCGCGACTGCTGGGGGCGGTACGCTGCTGGGGGCCGCCCCTCGATCACAATGATCTGACGGGACTCGAATGTCGGCTCCAGGGCCGGCTCCTTGTCCTCTTTGTCCGCCAGTTCCCGCCACCCCGAGCCCCGACTGGAGCCCTGGCCCTGGCCAGACTTGGGGGTCCGTTTAGGCGGCTCAGACTCGTCTACTGCAACAACAGGAGTCAGCGGGAGGTCACGACGGCACGCCCCACCCCACACCCCTCAGGGCGAGTCTGACTGAGGCAGGTGGGGCGAAAAATCGGCGACTCCACCTTTCCCGACATCGAACTGCCGCTATGTAAGAAAAGCCATTATGTATCCCTTATGGGTGGGTCTTACCTTTTCCGGGATCTCGAGCCAGTTCTGTAGGAAAGAGGTAAGAAAAAAAGGGTGTGTCAACACTGAGAAATATATTCGGTCTTTACGTTTAAAATCTCAAATAGTTCGAACAGCGTGTTAAATTCGAATAAGGCGCCCTATCGCCCCATTAAAGCTGCCCCCACAATGAGTGTCCCGCGAGTTCGCCCGAGGGAACACAGGGCGTCAAACCACCTTACCTCCACCTCCCGTACTTAGGCGCTCTGGGTGGGCCGCCGTCTTCACGCAGCTGTCTGGCGGGTCGGCCCACCCAGGGCGTGGCAGGCGCTGGCATGAGAGCGTCGCCTCATGAAACGTTCATTGTGGGGTGGGGACAGCTTATATAGGCAGACTGGATGTAGATTGGCTACATTCCATAAATAATTGTTCTTCCTAAAATGTCATATTTATATGTAATTTTTTTTGTCGTTAATCGCACTCACCTGTGACGTAGAAGGTTTGCCCAAGTCGCTCGTAGCCTCTGCCGAAACGCTGCACGTACAGCCAGTAGTTGATGACGTCGCCGACTTTGAGCTTCCGCTGCGACTGGTACGTCCACAGGCCCTCCTTGCTCTTCTTCCTGATGTCCATCGACATTTCGCCGGCCTCCCGCTCACCCAGCTCCCGGTTCACATTGCCGTGGAAGGCGAAGAGCTCCACGCCTTCCGAATCTGGAAACACGAAAAAGATTCATTGCGTCAGCGGATAGATCAGCAGTGAACCTCCCTGAACCTCCTTGACGTCACAACCAGCTTCACTCACTATCGCTCTTTACAATCGCGAGTTATGTTGTGACGGCTTCTTTGCCGCATTTTGCTCGGCCCGGCCCGCGCTAGGCGGCGATGTGCACGATAGCCGGCCAATTTACCGGTCCATGGGAGCCTCGCGAGACAATGATAGCCTGGCAGTGGTTAGTGCCCCTCTCCGAGCGACCGGCGCACGACGTCCACCCGGCCCGCCCGGCCCCCCGCGCCGTAGGAAAAATGTTGTATCGCCACGGACCGACAAGCAGGCTCCGTGCGCCACGGGCCCAGCTGTTTGCTTCCGAGGTGTGAAACGTTTCCCCAAACCTCTGCGGGCGTCAAGCACAAGTGGCTGGGCAGTGGTAGCGCTGACAGAACGACACAGAACACCATGCGCCCCCCCGCCCCGCCACCCGCCCCGCGGTACATAGCCTATGCGATGTGAGCCGCGCCGTCGAGGGAAACCCACGGGGCTTTCCCGCACGTGTGTGCGCTCCTATACGGATGAACGACGAGACACGCATATGTCGCAAACAATTCTCGGAAGTCGTAAAATTACAAATTTTCCCGCGGCGCGCGGCGCGAGGGAGAGTACACAAACGAAAAAATAGAAGAGTGCGCGTAAAGGACAGAGTTTTGGTGTTGGGAGTTGACGGAGTTGACTCGCTGCCACGCCCCACGAGGCCCAGCTGGTGGTGCTAATGAGACAGACTAAGATAACCGGTTTGCTCCGGGGCGTTCATCGCTTCCAACAAAAAAGAAAATAAGAAAAAAAGTGCGTTTGTTTCTGAGCTGGTATGCGCATCGCCAGGAAGTCCGCATTCTACTTTAAGAGGGTGCGGGCAGAATGAAAGGTGTGTGTGGCGGGG